AAATTCATGTCTGTTGAGTCATCACATCCTCTGTCATCCCCTTCTCCTCCTGCCCTCAATCTTTCCGGGCATCAGGGTCTTTTCCACTGAGTCAGCTCTTTGCTTCAGGTGGCCAGAGTGTTGTAACGTCAGCTTCAGCATCAGTCCTTCCAATGAATATTCAGGGTTGATTTCCTCTACGTATTTCAAACTAACCTCTGTGCTGCTAAACTTAAGGACATCATCGCGTGGATTCATTTTTCTCATTTAAAGAAGATACCACCTCCTACTTGGACTTCACAACCATCTGGAGACTTGAAACTAAAATGAACCAGACAAAAGGTAGGAAACTGAAACAGACAACATCCATTGTGGACAACTGTCCCAAGATTCAGGGCCAGGCTTGTATAATCTTACTTTTTATTTGTTTTTTTCCACCTTTCAATGCTTTTTCTTCTATGACGACAATCATATGCTCATTTTAAAAAGTAAATCAAATTGCTGAATTTGTAGACACCTGCCCTGCTCCAGTGCTTCTGGGTTACCTTGATGTATACCCCCATTATAGCTTAGCAGCTTTTATTTTTGAGGGGAATCACAGTAGTACTCTATATTTCCTTTGTCCGTGGAGTTCTCCAGGCAAAAATATGGAGTGGGTAACCACTCCCTCCTCCAGGGGATCTTCCCATCCCAGGGGTCAAACCCATGTCTCCTGCATTACAGGCAGATTCTTTACCACATGAGCTACCAGGGAAGCTCCTCTAGCAACAGCAGATTTCACTAATTGGAACTCACATGAATAGCCCATCAACCAAACCTTAAATGACACCACAAACTATTTTTTTTTCTCTCTCTTCTTCTTAGTGCTACCAAGGTCCAATCTCAGGAAAGAGCTAGACCAGAACTTAAAAATTTCACCTCCCATCTTTTAGGGGATACCATACCCTGATTATCAGCTTCTGGTTGAAGCTGAAACTCCAATCCACCAGAGTATGGGTATCTAAACACCAAGATCCCTGTCTGCTGGGGGCAGCGTAACCATACGGAAAAAAAGTCACCAACAGATGTCGCACCATGTGATTCTTGAGCTGCAACTGTCTCTTTAAAGGCTGGTTTGGAACTGATTGGGACAGGTGACCTAGTGTTTATTGGGCAACCCCAAATGGAACCCAACGGCTTTGTAGAACTAACTTCTGGCTTGACTCCCTCCTGAGTAGATAGGATGTTATTCCTTAGGATTCCTCCAAATTCAAGGGCATATTCACACAACTCTCAACATGGCCACTGCGAATTACCGCATGTTGAAAGCAAAATGGATTAGGGCAGTCTTCCATGGTGTGATCATTGTGATCATAGCTGCAAAAGTGTCAGCTATTTTTGCTCCCTCACTAAGACTATGTCAAACCTAGACAGCATGTTAAAAAGCAGTGACATCACTTTGCCAACAAAGGTTAATATAGTCAAAGCTTTGGTTTTCCCAGTAGTCGTGTTTGGATGTAAGAGTTGGACCATAAAGAAAGCTGAGTGCTGAAAAATTGATGCTTTTGAACTGTGGCACTGGAGAACACTCTTGGGAGTCCCTTGAACTGCAAGGAAATCAAACCAGTCAATCCTACAGGAAATCAACTCTGAATGTTCATTGGAAGGACTGATGCTGAAGCTGAAACTCCAATACTTTGGCCATGTGAAGAACTGACTCATTGGGAAAGATCCTGATGCTGGAAAAGATTGAAGCCAGGAGGAGAATGGGGTGACAGATGATGTGATGGTTGGATGGCATCACCGACTCGATGGACATGAGTTTGAGCAAACTCTGGGAGATAGTGAAAGAAAGGGAAGCCTGGCGTGCCGCAGCCCATGGGGTCACAAAGATTTCAACATGACTGAGTGGCCAAACAATAACAACAAACTCAGAATAACTCATGCCGCCTTAAGGACAAGTGTTTCCTGACTCACATCAATCACAATTATTGGCAGGCAACTTTTAATGACTTTCTGGCTGTTTGCTTTTATAAGCTCCTGACTTTCTCTTCCCCAGAACTCTCACTTGGGTTCACCTGCATCTGTGTCTCTTAAAGTGCAATTCATACGACTCCAAATAAACTCTTTTCTTATTTGCAGTTTCATACATTATGTTTCGGTTGATGCACTACACTTAGTGCAGAGGAAATATAACAGCTGTGAACTTGCTGTGTTTCTATGAAAAGGGAAGTTAGGAGAATGTGGCAGTTGCCACTTTTGAGCATCATGGCCCTCCTATCCTTCGGATCCATACTTCACTGTGATTCTTCTTGTTAGTGGCTCTCTTGGCATTACAAGGGAGTGCTGGGATGAAGATCAGTTGCCTTGAACTTTGATCCAGGGCTTCCCTGGAGGCTCAGACAGTAAAGAATCTGTCTCCAATGTGGCAGACCTAAGTTCGATCACTGGGTTGGGAAGATCCCCTGGAGAAGGGAATGGCAACCCACTCCAGTATTCTTTCCTGGAGAATCCCATGGACAGGGGAGCCTGGCTGCAGTCCATGGAGTCGCAAAGAGTCAGACATGACTGAGCAACTAACACTTTCTGCCCAAACGCGGGATGTCACTTTTGGCAGGTTGGTTAACCTTCCTGGTCAGTTTCTATGCTGTAAAAAGAGAGGCAGAACAGATGTGCTGGTTTCAAACTGCTTTCTGAGCTTCTCTATTGGCAGGGGCTGGGAACAGGCCAAGCCTGTGGTTTGTTGGCCAATGGACTTGCTACCCCTCCATCAACCAGAATCAACAAATCCATTAGTAAATTGGGATCCTTCATTCCATCTTATTTGAACAAAATGTTCTGCCAGCTTGAACACCATTAAGGAGGTCATCAAGGACCACGCAGCTCTGCCTCTGATTTAAAACTCGCTGCCCTTCCAGTTACTGGTGTTTCTTCTTCCCAGTTTTGGCTGCTCAGCTTCTGGACCTTTTTTTCTTTTTTAGCTTTTTATGGGTCTCCTAAGAGGACAGGCAGGTAGGGCCAGTGTCAGGAAGGATAGCTCAAGCAGTGCTCCGACGACCACGGTCAGACCCTGGAAAGAAGGAAGAGGATGAAATCGTGGGCAACAATGATGGCTTTGGGACCTGGGCAGACACCTGCAGCGTGACGTCCCTGCGAGGGCCGCCACCCGGCTCCCGTGCAGAGGGCAGTTTGTCTGAAGGGCTCCTGCCCCACACTCCTTCCCCAGGGGCTGCTCTGCCAACTTGCTTCAGACTTGCACGGCTGACCTCTGTGGCTCATGGCACACGTGTGTGCGGTGGAGAAGGTGGGCGGCCCAGGTTTCTGCGGAGCAGCAACCCCAGTGCACGGGCCAGAGCGGCTGGGCACTCACAGGGGGCACTCATGGGTGGGCGCTCACGGGTGGGCGCTCATGGGTGGACACTCACGGGCAGCCCAAAGCTTTGGACAGGGGTGGGCAAACTGTGATGTAAACACAGGTGTGGGATGATGGCTGCAGAAAGAGCAGCTCGGGCCCACATGGAGTTTTCTAGGGAATGGGGGTGGGGGTGGTTATTGGCCAGGCTGGTGGATGGGAGGTGGGTGGGCTGGCATTTCAGAGTCAGGGAGCCAAGGAGACGCATGTGGCTGTAAAAATAAAGGTGGCTGTTGGAGAATTTCTTGATTTATTTTTTTAACTAGGCAAGTCTTCAAGTGTGGAAAACTAGACATTTGTTTCATATATCATAAGTGTAGGAATCCAGATTAGGCAAGATCTGTGTCATCTAGGAAAAATGAAAAGATCCAGGTCTTCAGCATGAAGTTCCCACACAATATTACAATCTACTGGGCAAAGTTTCTTCCCAATAAGTTGTCCCTCACAAGTAGGTTTAATTGGCAAGCCACTTTTTCTTTATTGTCTTCAAAAGTGAAAAATATTTGTATTTTCATGTGGTGGAAGACCCTACAGATTTGGAAGAGGAATCCTGAAATCAGATGGTTTTGGGGCCCCGGTCTGCACCAGGCTCCAAGGAGGAGGGTCAAGGACAGCAGCGCCCTGACCCGGGCCGAAGGGCTCCCTGAGCCTCGCGCTCCCCGACGGCAGCCCCGCAGCCGGTGGGGGAGGGGGTCTCTGCCTCTGCTCCCGACGCCCCTTCCCAGACGCCCTCAGTCCGCCCCCCACAGCCCTTTGCTGCTGTCTCCGCTGATGCTAAGAGCTGCTCAAGCTTGAAAGGGTGGAGAGACTCTAGTTTCAGGTCCCATCTGAAACCGCTGTAATGACACTGCAGGGCTTTCTGCTTTGCTCGTATGTAACGAGAGCCTTTGATGGGTAGAGCCTGTTATCTGCTTGGTCTTTGCAAACCAGGAAAACTCAGAAAATGTCAAGTCTCTAAATGTCGGTGGGTATAGTGTCATAAGTGTGATATGTCAGGATATCTGCTACTTTATTTGAAAGGTTAGGCTTCATAGGAAAACAATAAAGAAGTCCCCCAAAGCCAAAGATGCTTTTCAGAAAGTGCCAGTTACTACTTAAAAATATCAAGCCAATGCCGCAGAAATGACTCTTGAGAGAGCCAGGACCAAATATTTCCTGGCCCAGAAGGGGACCCCTGGAAGCCTTCCCGGGGAGAGACGAAGGGCAGCTTTTATTCCACTGACTGTACGGTTTGGCTTTGGTCTCATGTGGACATCATCCCACTTTATTACAGAGAAAGCCAACGTCCTCACTCTTACAGAATGGCTGCCAGAAAGTTCTGTCTGATCATCAGCCTTCTGATTGTTATATTCATTAATAACTCACTAACTGGGGCAGACAATCACAGTTTTCCTTAAAGAACTTTTCTTTAAAAATCCATTTTCCAGAAGAGAAATTACTTTTCTCTTTGACTCAGGTCTAAGTTTTCACAAAACAAATTCAAGGTTAGCCCTTTAACACTGTTAGTTCTTAAAAACTGTGCCCAACATGCAGGATCTCAATACATATCAAATGAATAAGAGCCTTAGTCTCCGTGATTTGCATGGACGCTTGCTTACAGTTTCCTTACCTTCTTTGCCTTCCCTCTAAGATGGTGATCTTGCCGCAGGTGCTGAGGTCTCTCCAAACGCTCAGCACTCCCGCTCCTGATGGACGTCTGACAACTTGATAAGGAGTTGGACTCTGGTGGGGCTGCACTGGTTGGAGAGAAGCCCAGGTGTCTTCGGATGCAGAGCAACGTACACAGAGAGGAATCGACAGAGCGGAACTGGCGCCCGAAGGAAGGAGTGTTTGGAGTCGGTGCCGGACCAGGAGCAGCTGCCCCGGGCGGTGAGCTTGGACTGGAAAGCGGAGAGACGAGGGGGCTGTGGGCCCTTGCTCTGCCCCGTGAAATAATCCGCACCTTTAAAGGCACTTCAGCCACTACCCACAGTCATAGTTCCAACAGCGGACACCTTTACTGCCGGACGGTTCCAGTGAAAACCGAGGCTGCGGCCTGGAAACAGCCTTCATGGGGCGCTGGGTGTCCTTCCACCTGCAGGACGTGGAGTGTTTCTCACACAGCGAAGCATCACTGTTGCCACCACTTATGAGAGTCTAGATGAAATAGAGAAAAATCTGTTGCTGCAATTTATGAAGTAGCACACTTCTGTTACTTGTGGTTTCGTGTAGAGAATCTGATGGCGCCACAGCCTGGTTCTAGGGGCATACACGGTCATAGACGTAGAAGGTTTGCAATTAACCCAGTTTGTGCTCTGACTACTGCCACCAGGACCCATTACTCTGAGCCTGACCATGGTCAAGCTTGACCTCTTGACCAAAGTTACTGTTCGTAGACCCCAGACGTCAAAGGAGCTCACCTCCCAATGCTGATGTCACAAAGAGATTTACTCTGGAACGTGTTGGAGTTGCTTTTTTGTTTTTGTTTTTTTAACAAACTTTCCTTTATTTCAAAGACAAACTTCTGCCTTGACCTGTTTCTGTGTTCATCATTTCCACATTAGTGCAGAATCCAAAATCACAACGGTTATGTGCCATAGGAATTTAAAGGAATTAGCAGGAATTTACCTCAACATTATAAAGGCTATGTATGACACACCAACAGCTAACATCATATTCAGTGATGAAAACCGAAGAGGTTGTCTCTAAGAACAAGAGCAAAACAAGACCGTCCACTTGCCAGGCTATCAGGCAAGAAAAAGAAATGAAAAGCATCCAGATTGGAAAGAAAAAAGTAAAATGATCTGTTTGCAGATGACATGGTTTATGTTTGTAGAAGACCCCAAAGTTTCATTAAAAAAAACTGTTAGATTTAATAAATGAATTCAGTAAAGTTGCAGGATACAAAAATTAGTTGTATTTCTATACATTAACATAAATCATTTGAAAAAGAAATTGATCAAATTATCTCATTTACACAGCATCAGAAATAATAAAATATTTAGGAGTTAACTAAGGAGATGAAAGTCTTATTTCTGAAAACTACAAAACAAAAAAAGAAATTAGAGGAGGCAAAAATCATGGAAAGACACCACATGTTTGTGGATTGGAAGACTCAGTGTTACGACGTCCAGAGCCGGTGTTTATCCCCATCAAAATCCCAATGGCAGTCTTTACAGAAATAAGAGAATAGCTAAAAGTTAAGGTTAATGAGTACCCAGAAAGAAGAGCCAAAGCAATCTTGATAAAGAACAAAGCTGGAGGCATTACACTCCTGATATCAGAATATATCACAAAGGTGTACTAAGACGCAGGAGTTTAAGCGAAGGAGCTCATGACCTGTATGGACGGTGGCCCTTTGTGGAAGGAAATCCACTGTCCTCAAGTGTACATCGCCTGAGTGACAGCCATCCTATGTTCTCTATGCCCCAAACCTTCCTAACGCTTGACTCAGGACCTGCTCATCTTGTGGATTTCCGAGAGTTTACATATTTGCCGTGGTTATAGCCTCTGCAAGGCTTGAAGGACGGAGCACAGCCTGGCCTCCTTTGTAGCCCAGCCAGCACTTCAGGGAAAGAGTGGAGGGCACTTGGGTCTCTGGCCCACCCGCAGTCAGGTGCTGGGCGAGCACCTAACTCGTCCTCACGAGAGGCTGACGTGGCTGCGAGTCTGCCCTGCAGTCTGCATGGCGCCTCTCTGGGCACCCGCTCCCAGACGGCGTGGTGCTCCCCGCCCTTGGCTCTGGGCTTCTCCAGGCTCGTGTCATGGAGGTTTGGGGTCAGAATCCACCCCATCTCCCTGTGTCATCATCTACTGTAGGCCTGTGTGCTCTGGAAAAGGGAATCCCCGGGACCACTGGGTGGAGAGGGGCAAGTGGACTCCTGGATCAGCAGCACGTGGTCAGGTCCCTGTGCAGGGATGTTCTCACTTAAGGAAGGGAAGTCCAGGAGGTCAGTGACCTTTGCCTGCACACTGGGGAAGCGACTCTTAGCAACAGAGACTGTGCTGCTCGGAACACTGCCCGCCTGGCAGCTCAGAAAGCAGTCCATGAGACACAGGGCCTCTCTCTGCTGCTTGATCACGCTAAGTAAAGTCCTCCCAGCTTTGGGCCAGAGCTTCTACTTCCTCAGTCTGTCTTTGATTTCTGGACTCTCGACTGAGGACTGTGTCCCTGCGCGTGGCCGCAGGAGGTGTGAGTTGGTCTCTTTGGTCCACATTTGATGGCCTTTTTCACTCCAAACATGCTCGGGTGGGTTCCAGCAGCTGAGAAGAGTGTGGCTGGCCGCAGTCTCCCCCGAGCTCCTGTCTCATCTCGTGTCCATGATGGGGTGACCTGTCCACCCCATGGGGTGTCCTGTCTGATGTGGGCATTTTTCCGACGTTTGTGCCCAGGAGTTGTTGCTGCCGCTCTGGGACAGAGACAGTCTTACAGCAGAATTCTCCAGTCCTGATGAGTGGAAGTGTCTTCAACAGAGTGTCCTTTATCTTTAAAATTTTATGTTTTTTGTCATGCTAATGACAAAAGATGGTCATTTCTGTTTTGAGTCCTTACTGGCCAAAACTTAAAGCAGGCCAACCTCTGATGTCACCTAGCCATTACTACTCTTCGTGGTCCAGACGTCTGGAGCTGGGAGCCAGGACCCCCAAGTAGACTTCCTGGACTAGTCTCCGGGCGGGGTTCCGCAAGCTAACACGTGGCTGGTGGTGCCTGTGCGTGGGGGCCCTCTTGAACGTTTTGTGCTCAGCCAACAGCCCACGTGCAGATGTGTAATATACACAATCTGAGCCATCGCTTTGCTTTGTTTCAAAGCAGAGATGAGCCTTAGACCTTTTGTTGTAGGAGCTGCCAACAGGAGATGACTGAAACACGTTTAAACGATGCTGTTGTTCTGTTTAAGTCTTTACCCCAAACTTGGACTGAAAACTCAGCCGGTCAGGTTGACAGCAGCTACGCGTCCATGATTTTTTCAGTCGGCAGCCGGTGAAAGCGGAGCAGATGGGGCTGTGCAGTAAGGGATAGCAATGCCGAGTCCCCCAGAGTTTGCAGCTTTTGGGGGGCAGGATGGTGGTGTGTGGGGGTAGGGGTTCCCTGGAGAGGGGGAGGCCCTCTGGAGTCCCACTGGTCCTTAGGCTCTGAGGCCAGATTCCTGCCCGGCCAGCAGACTCTCTTAGAGAGTGAGTGTCTGTGCTGGCTGGCCAAGCTATCTCGGGACCTTAGGTTTTATTTTATAGAGTATTTCTTGAGACGGCTCCACTTCAAATTTCTGCACCCAGAGAGGTGTTAAGGAAGCTGACATCACACCCTCTCTGCCTGGGGACTGGGCCCTGAGGGAGAGGAGAGCGTGCCCTGCAGAGCCAGGGGACGCATGCCCTGTCTGACGTCCCTCGGGGCTCAGGTCATCCTCAACAGGCCCCTGCCTGTGCAGGAGGGACCCCGTCACAGGAGCACGGTCTGGGCCCCGTGCAGACCCGGGCCCCAGAGCCAGCCTGCTGTCCTCCTCCCCTCCCCCGGCTTTGCTCCTGTGTGTCTGGCTCCTGGTCCACGGTGGCTCAGACGTTTGGCTCTTGACACGCTGCCATCTGGCAAAGTTAGGCAACTCCCTTCATTGCGCTCTCTTTGCCCTGTCTGTGCAGTGCAGACAGGACTTGAAGTTTAACAATGACTCTGTATTTCAGATACTCTCATATATTCCAGGTTGACTAAGTAGGTGGGAAGGTAAAACAATCCCATTTCACAGGTTGGTAAACTGAGTCCGATTTGATGATTTGCTCAGGGTCAGGGCCACAGCTCTGGCTTTAGGGGCCAAACTTCCCAACCAAGCAACAGGGCCTCAGGTTTTGAAGGAAAAGTATTTTAGTGCTCTTTGTTTATTGAAAAAAGTTCACTGTGTTTGTAGACAATCTCACATGGTCATGGCTTTCACGAGCTGCTTTATGAAGACACCCGAGGTGTTTGGCTTTAGCCCAGGATTTTCTCTGTCCTGCTGAGGAGGCTGCGGAGTGAGGTCATATGGGTGGTTGCCGTTCCTGAAGAGGGAGGCTGTCGAGTGTCCAGGCGGCTGGGATGTCTGCACCAGCGGGTCTGTCCAACCTGCCACCAGCGGAGGCCCTTTGGGAGGCCAGCCCCTCCTCCTCTGGGGGCGCTCACTGCACCAGCCTCTTGCCCTGCTTGCCGCCCCGTCACAGGGGGAGCCAGCCACGCACACGTGAGGTTAGTCCAGCCATTCAGCTACTGAGGCGTGATGTTCACGTCTGCACCTTTTCCTGGGCGTTTTCGAGGTGGGAGCTCCAGTTTGCCGTCCTCGCTTGCCCCCTTCCCTGCCGTTCTGCGCCCCACTTCCCCCCCCTACCCACCCCCCTTGGCCCCTGTAATCCACACCCAGAGCTTGGCTGGGTGAGCTGCCTGCAAGGATACTTTCATTTAGGTCCTTTTCTTTCTGGGCCTTCCCGCATTCCGTTCCCCGGAAGGCCCTCTTCCTGTAGAAAATGCCATAACATCCTGTAAGATTAAAAACAAATTAGCTACGACAGTGAACTGGCAAAGCTGTCTGCATGAAGTCTCACTCTACGGGAAGAGCCTCTTGCAGCAGCTGAAGTATTTTGGGGGCCAATTTTGGTTTCATTTGAAACGACGCTGTAGTCACAGCTTGCTGGTCCAAAATATGTGATACTTACTTGTGCTGAGTGAAGAACTGCCTTTTGATTTAATTACAGGAGGCGTGCATCTTGGAAAATTCAGTTCAGTTCTGTCCAGTTGCTTAGTGTCTGACTCTTTGCGACCCCATGGACTGCAGCATGCCAGGCTTCCCTGTCCATCACCAACTCCTAGAGCTTGCTCAAACTCATGTTCATTGAGTCTGTGATGCCATCCAACCATCTCATCCTCTGTCTAGAAAAGTAGGAGGACCATTCATCCCAAATTCCTGCCCTGCAGGAACCGACAAGCAGCCCAGCAAGGCACCTGC